TCTTTAGAAGTTCTCATCATGGGTAAATCTCTCTGTATGTCACTGGTTTAACATGATATTAAACATCAATACAAGATATTGAGCTGAAATCTCAATTTTTTTAAGCTGAACATATTTTACCGCATTCGCAAGTCTGGCTCCAAAGGAAACCACGACTGTGCTTTGCATACTGTATTCACCAACACAATCGCACGGGGAAACGTAACTATTGTATGTGTTGTCAGAAAAGTGGCTAATTCGTACAAATTCATTCATGTGAAAATGGGGTGTCAACAAACCCAACACGTAAACCTAATTCAAACAAATTCTTACGATTTGAAAACGTATGATTTTTAAAAACCCCATGCCTAACCCCTATTTGTACAAATTCATATGATTTCAATCAAATGAAACAAGTTTTAAAAGGAAGCATGTCAACCAACCCCACGCCTAATCTTATTTTGTACAAATTCGTATGATTTTGCGCAATTTTTATAAGCAGGCATGTCAACAAACCCCACGCCTAACCCTAATTCGTACAAATTCATATGATTTTGCGCGATTTTCAAAAGGAAGCATGTCAACAAACCCCACACCTAACCCTAATTCGTACAAATTCGTATGATTTTGCTCGATTTTTAAAAGGAAGCATGTCAAAAAAAACCACTCCTAACCCTAATTCGTACAAATTCATATGATTTTGCGCGATTTTTATAAGGAGGCATGTCAACAAACTCCAAGCCTAACCCTAATCCGTACAAATTCATATGATTTTGAGCGATTTTTATAAGGAGGCATGTCAACAAACTCCAAGCCTAACCCTAATTCGTACAAATTTGTATGATTTTGCGCGATTTTTAAAAGGAAGCATGTCAAAAAAAAACCCACTCCTAACCCTAATTTGTACAAATTCATATGATTTTGCGCGATTTTTATAAGGAGGCATGTCAACAAACTCCGAGCCTAACCCTAATTCGTACAAATTCATATGATTTTGCACGATTTTCATGAGGAGGTGTGTCAACAAACCCCACACATAACCCTAATTCGTACAAATTCATACAATTTCATTATTTGGATAATGTCGTTTTTATAAAGTTGTGTCATATAACCCCAAACCTAGCCCCTAATTTTTACAAATTCATACAATTTTGTATGATTTTTAAAAAGAGGTGTCAACAAACCCACACCCCCAACCCTAATTCGTACAAATTCATACGATTTCATTAATAGGAAGATGTACGATTTTAAAAAGGAGGCATGTCAACAAACCCCGCACCTAATCCTAACCCTAATTGGAACAAATTCTTATGATTTTGTACAATTTTTAAAAGGAGGCGTGTCAATAAACCCCACTCCTAACCCTAATTCGTACAAATTCTTATAATTTCATATGAAAATGTAACATTTTTACAAAGGAGGCATGTCAACAAACACCACACCTCACCCTAATTCGTACAAATTCACATGATTTTAAAAAGACAAGTGTCAACAAACCCACACTTCTAAACCTAATTCGAACAAATTCATACAATTTCATTCATATGAAGACGTTCGATTTCAAAAAGGGGGCATGTCAACCAACCACACACTTAACCCTAATTCAAACAAACCTATAGGATTTCATTCATGTGAAGATGTACGAACTTAAAAAGAAGGCATGTCAACACACCCTACCACTAACCCTTATTCATACAAATTAATTTCTATGAAAATGTACAATTTTAAAAGTAGGCATGTCAACAAACCGCACACCTATTTATAACCCTACTTCGCACCAATTCATACAATTTTCCCCGATTTTTAAAAAGAGGCAGGTCAACAAACCACACACCTAACCCTACTTCGTACTAATTTATATGATTTTTAAAAGGAGCCATGTCGACAAACCGAACACCTATCCCTTACCCTACTTCGTACTAATTCATACAATTTTGTTCGATTTTTAAAAGGAGTCATGTCAACAAACCACACACCTAACCCTACTTCATATAAACTCATACAATTTTGTACGATTTTTAAAAGGAGGCATGTCGACAAACCACACACCTAACCCTACTTCAAACTAATTCATACGATTTTGTTAGATTTTTAAAAGGAGGCATGTCGACAAACCACACACCTAACCCTACTTCGAACTAATTCATACGATTTTGTTCGAGTTTTAAAAGGAGGCATGTCGACAAACCACACACCTAACCCTACTTCGTATAAACTCATACAATTTTGTACGAGTTTTAAAAGGAGGCATGTCGACAAACCACACACCTAACCCTACTTCGTATAAACTCATACAATTTTGTAAGATTTTTAAAAGGAGGCATGTCGACAAACCGCACACTTAACCCTACATCGAACTAATTCATACGATTTTATTCGATTTTTAAAAGGAGGCATGTCGACAAACCGAACACCTATCCCTTACCCTACTTCGTACTAATTCATACGATTTTGTTCGATTTTTAAAAGGAGGCATTTTAACAAACCGCACACCTAACCCTACTTCGTACTAATTCATACAATTTTTAAAAGGAAACATGTCGACAAACCGCACACGTATCCCTAACCCTACTTCGAACTAATTCATACAATTTTGTACGATTTTTTAAAAGGAGACATGTCGACAAACCCCATTCTTAACCCTAGTTAATACAAAATACATTTTCATTAAAAAATGTATGATTTTTAAAAGGAGGTGAAGCCCACCCCTAACCCTCACTGGGGCATGAGCATATCCTACTGAAATGTACGAATGAAATCGTACAAAACAATACGAATTAGCCACTAACTTTAAAAGTTACGAATTGCTGTGAGATTGCGTTGGTTTTCACACATATCCCAGAGTAAACCGTCAGTCTTTACTCCATCTGGCACAAACTCATACTATCAAAAAGGTCTTTGTCAAGGTCATCGAATAAAATAAATTGGGTAACGTTACACTGATATCCTTCTCCTTCCAGTTGCGCATACCCTCCAAAAAACATACAAATTTAAAAATTGTGTACATCATTTTAAAAAAATGAAAGAAAAAAAGCATTTTAGAGACATAAACTGACCAAACAGAGGAGTTTCTTACATTTTAGATACACATAAACATGTCAATTGCAACTCAAATCGATCATAACGGTGTGCCTTTTATCATTTCGACCACATAAAAGCCCTTGCTAATCTATATTGCTACATCAAAGTAAAGTATGATAATGTCAAAGTTCCTCGTTTCAGAGAACTTTTGTTTTTTCTCTCAGTCCAAAAATAGAGACGTTAATCCTTTATAAGTTTGGTTTCTTTTCAATAGGTGCTTGAGCAACTGACATGCCACAAACATAAAAAATTTTGGCATTGTTATAGCACTACAAGACATGTTTCTTCTTTTTTTTGTTTGTTTTAAATGTTGAACAGTGTATTCACGTACATGGCTAATACCTAGACATGTTTTCTTTTAGTTTTCATTAACAAGCAGTGACAAACATGTCTGTAATGGAGTATGGTTATATTTTCACTATGGCATGTGAGACAAAAAGGCAGTGTGGCTGATACTTTCCCTCAGTGATATTTTTGAAAGGTTGCCCGTCTAATTAAAACAAACAAGAAGAGCGCTTTCTAAGAAAGCACCCCTTCGACTTGCAAATATATACAAGGCACTACTTTTGATCTACTCTTATTTGCTCACACTGCAGTGATGCTAGCGAGTAGCAGCACATAAGTGATTACCCAGCCAGGGGTGCGTTTCCGAAAACCATCGTTAGCCAACTTAAGTTAGACAAGGTTGCAAGTTCCGTTGTTACAGTCATAGTTTTCTATTAAAGCAGAATTTTTTCATTTCCTAATAAATTATAAATATTAAATTTAATGTCTTATTCAATTGTCTCATAATTAATTAATTAATTAATTAATTAATTAATTAATTAATTAATTAATTAATTTATTTATTTATTTATTTATTTATTTATTTATTTATTTATTTATTTATATATGATATTACAATAAGTGTTAGCTTTTGTAAGTGTTTTTATGCTAATTTAGAATAGCATATGTAATGTTCTCAATAATATTTGTAAAGGAAACATTCAATTAATATAAAAAGCGAGTGCATGTTTTTACCAAAAGTAATATTGGATTTTATTTTAAATGTATAGAAGTTGTTACTTCACCCCGTTTAGAGCATCATTATGGGTGTTTTACATTGTAACTAACGTGGTATAAACGATAGATCTGCGACAGAGAAACTACGGTTTTGGGAAACACTCGTCACTTTATTGTTCTCCTCCCAAACAATGCATCGTACTATGATAGTTCAGCCGTGAGTTACTTCGTTGTTTGGGAAACGCACCCCTGATCTCACAATGAAACGTAAATATCTTTTACGTTTCGTCAGTTTAGAGGCTAATTCGTACGAACGTATGATTTAAAAAAAAAAAGGCGTGGCATCAAACCCCGCCCCTAAACCATCATTAGGAAATGGGCAAACCATACTTAATCGTACAAATGAGATCGTACAAATTTATACGAACTAGCCAATAAATCTAAAAGTTACTAATTGGCGCGAGATAGCATTGGATTCCCCGAGTGCCATCGTTTCTATGTATCATGTGCACCAGCCACAAATTTGTTTTAAAACCCTCTACTAAAATAATGAATAAAGAGTATGTTTTTAGTGCTAACTATATAAAATTGCATTCCAACACTGAGACTGAGAGGTTTACATTCTTTCTAAGCATCTATGCTATCCCTTCCTTTATAAACATACTGGTTTAATGTATCAACAATTTTATACGAAAAATAAATAATCCAAACAAATTGTTTAGAGAATCTTGAAAATTGACCCAATTTTCCATACAAGTCGGAACAAATTGCACTCTTTCTCTCTCTCTCTGTCAGACACTGAGTTTGTACCTTGTAGTTACATTTAGCAAAGCTTAAAATGACTATCGACATCTCTAACACTTTATAATATTTACATGAAAACAAAATAAATAGAATGCTTTATGATATACACATTGTTCTTGTACTTTTTTTTCAAACGTTCTCTACAATTTTTGTATCCATGAGTAAATGATTGTTTTGTTGTTGTCGTTTTTTTTCTTCCCACTGAGACATGTTTTATTGCTGTTAATGGAACCCTAGTAGAATACAAGGTCAAATAACGTAAGATCCAAAACACAGGCTGAAGAAAACAGAAATAAAAACAAAAACACATGACTGTTAGAATCCAGCTGTTGACTGGATCCCGAAAAGCTTCGCCCATGCAAACGTATTCCCTGTGCATTGCTAATGTAATGCAAAAAAATTAAAACAAAACACATCGCAATGCTGAAATAAACATCGTAAAAGAATAGTTCACCCAAAATGTATTTAACTGTAGTTTTTTCTTTAACACAAAAAGTGACACATTTTTACATATACATCAACACAGTCACCACATATGTCCGAAGAATTTATTAAATTAATTTAAAAAAAGACTACAAACATGCATAAAAAACTATTTATATAAGATCTATATTCTGATGCCTTACTGTATGTGAAGAACAGGACTGCAGAAGGCTTGGAATAAAGGACGACTTTCACTTTATGTTGCTTGTTAGTATGTTTGACCTTTACAGACACGGCCATTAAACTGCTGTCTTAGAAAAAAAGTAAGAACGTTTGTCATTGTGTGTTCTACAAGAGGATTGGAACACGACGAGAAGTTTCGAATCTTTTCTGGGTGAACTATTCCTTTAGGAAGAGAGTTTAAAACTATTGTTCTATGTGCATCTGCGGAGTAGCGTTTTCTCAGGTGTGATATACTGTGTCTGTATGCATATACGTCCCTCTTTTTTTTATCATATAGGAAGATACGGTATGTTACATTTTACATTACACACACTTGAAAGTGGGAACTTGACTATCGTTGAAACAAATTGTTTCTTTTCGCCTTTTTTTGTGTGTTAGAAACGTATGAAAACAAAGAGAAAGTAAAAGGGAAAACGGAGGAGATAGAATTAGTGTGGTTGTAGGTTCATACCCTGTAATTTGGGTTTTTTATTCAAGTAAGTTGCCCAATACACCAAGTTAAAGGTTCCGAATAGCAGTGGGAAAGCTATTCTGGCGATCCTATCGATCTTGCTCACGCTGTTGAAGGTCTTCTTGGCCTCTGGAGGTTTGGGTTTTGGCTCTTCCTTGGGCTCGGTTGGGGGTGGGGGGGCACTTTTAGCAATGGTTGCCAAACCAGGGTCTCTGGCAATGTTCGGAGCAAAAGCTGTTGCCGTGGCAGCGGTGTAGGTGTTGTTCTTTTTTAGCAAAGACTCTTTCTTCTTCTTTTGCTGTAAAGAAGATCAACATGAATACGTTGTCAGTATTGCACGAAATTGGTTTATGAGTATAATTGGTAACACTTTATTTGCTGGGGTGTTCATTAGACTGTCATGAGCCCGTTATAATCATGACTTTTTGTGAATCTGAAGATTATTTTATGCATGCTTATGACAACTTAAATATCATTTGCCTAGTTACGTATTTTTAAATGCAAAATGACATAGTTTGAGATGGAAGTATTTTGTCTTGGTAATGTCAAGTTTTCAACAAATGCATGTACTTACAGTTAAAACCAGAAGTTTACATACACTCTAAAAAAAGGAACATAACCATTTTTTAAAAAAAATGTCTGATGGTAAATCATAAACATTTACTATTTTAAGATTCCCTAAATCATTTACATTTGCTAAATGCCAGAATGATTCGATAATTTATTTTTAGAGAATTGTTTATTAATTTCTAGACAGTCAAAAGTTTACACACATTTCCTTGGTATATTTTTTTAGCTTTGCTTTTAAACTGTATAACTTTGGTCAAATGTTTTGGTTTTCCTTCTACAAGCTTCTCACAATAGTTTGAAAGAATTTTGGCCCATTCCTCCTTACAGAATTGGTGTAACTGAGTCAGATTTGTTGGCTGTCTTGCTTGTACAAGCTTTTTCAACTCTGCCCACAAATTTTCTATAGTATTGAGATCAGGGCTTTGTGATGGCCACTCCAAAACATTCGCTCCGTTGTTCTTAAAGCACATTTAAACTAATCTGGCTGTATACTTAGGGTCATGGTCTGTTTGGAAGACCCATTTGTGGCCAAGTTGTAATTTCCTGGCTGATGTCTTGAGATGTTGCTTCAGTATTTCTACATTATGTTCTTTCTTCATGATGCCTTCTATGCTGTGAAGTGGACCAGTCCCTCCTGCAGCAAAACAGCCCCACAACATGATGCTGCCGCCCCCATACTTCACAGTTGGGATGGTGTTCCTAGGCTTGTAAGCTTTCCCATTTGTCCTCCAAATATATCACTGGTCTTTAGGGCCAAACAGTTCAATCTTAGTTCCATCAGACCACAGGACATGTCTCCAAAAATGAGTCTTTTTCACAGTGTAATTTAGCTAATTGGGTTTTTTTGTTGATTCTGGCTTGTTGATTTTCCCATGCTGTCATACAAGGAAGCAGTGTGTTTGAGGTTTTTCTTAAATACTATTCTACAGTTGTGCCTTCAATTAACTCAAATGTTGTCAATTAGCCAATCAGAAACTTCCAAAACCTGGACCATCATCTGAGCTTTTTCAGAGGCAGAATAATCTTATTGTGTGTAAACTTGACTTTTCAAGAAAAGTTATAACACTTTTTCTCTCCTTATTGTTCTATTATGCATTACAGAAGCAAATTTAATATTTCTAACTTACCTAAAAGACAAAACGTTTAGTCACATTAACATCTGATTTTTATATATTTATTTATTTTAATGGTTATGTGCCTTTTATGCACTATATGTAAACTTCTGGCTTGTACCGGTTTGGTAAACTGTGTGTACCAAAGTTGATATTTTGGCCGCACCATATTGGTGTTTTTTAAACTTTGTTTCCTAGTTTTCATGAGGTGAGTTGTTAGCCCAATACTAAACCCCTAATTTGAAGGACCAGGACATACATTGCAACTTTACCAGCTAATGAAATGACTAAAATGATTTTAAACATGACTGTCTGAAAATTTAAATATTATAAGACCAATAATAAAAAAAAAATTAGCACAGAAATGTCGGACTACTGAAAAGTATGAGCATGTACAGCACTCAACCCTGATAATACTCAATTTTTGATCAAATTATAATGTATTGAGATGCACCTTTATGCATTGGCATGTTGGTATAATCATTGTTCAAGTAAAAGTACTGTATAGCCTCGTCTTATGTGTACACTCTAAAAAATAACTCAAGAGGTCTGTAACCACTACATAGTTTAATACATTATTGTAACTTAGATTAAAACTTTTAAGCTGCCAGAATAGTTTTCAAAACATGAAAATATTTATAATTACATAAATCTAAAATGCGGCTAATTTAAAGGTAAATATATCTGTCTGTTACTATAAACAATATTTAACTTGTAGCAACCCAAAGACATTTTTCCATACTAATGGAGTTGTTTTGTATTTTTAAGTCCACACTGATGCTTTTTTTTTTATACTGATAATATGGGACAGTACATGTTTTTGTTTTGTAAAACAATACAAACCTGTGGTTTAATACAAAAAAAAAAAACGAAAAACAAAAATGTTGTTGTTAAATGTGTTTCTTACAAGCACGAACAGTTAATTTGAAAACAAACAAAAATGTATTAATTTATTTGAGGTTCTAAACTTGAAAATATGCATGTAATTACATACATATCACAGGATTTGTTTTCAATTAAAAAAAAAACTGTAACAACTTATTTTTTTGAGAACTCAACTTAAAAAATTGAGGTTTTTGCTATGTACAAATGCCTCTAATTGAAGAGGAAAAGATTTGGCTAACATAAAAAAGTTTGTTGTCTGAACCTCATTTTGTTTGATGTTGTTTTGAACTTGAATATATTAATGCAAGCTGTTGCTTCAATTTTTTTGTTTTGTATAACAATATTTTTTCCCAGAAATGGTTTGCGGCTGGAAGGGCATCCGCTGGATGAGTTGGTGGTTCATTCCGCTGTGGCGACCCCGAATTAATAAAGCCGATAAGAAAATTAAAGAATGAATCAATGATAACGATATTTTTTAAAGTGTATAGTTAAGTATCTTACAAAATATGTAAGTTGTGTACAGGTTTTAAAAACCTAGCTCTTATGTCCAGTGTTGTGTTTGTTTTATGATGAATTATGTAGCACTGTTGTCCTGCGAGACATCACATTTCGTTCCTCTGTATGTCCACACATAGGGGAATGCCAATAAAGCTCAACTTAAACTTGATGTATTACATGTTGGTTTAATCATCTCCCAGTACATTAGTTTTTATCTACAATATAAAGGCAGAAGAATGTAACAGGCCTAATCTCTCTCAGAAATGGCTTCTTTCAAACAGACATAAAGAAATAAGTCTTGAAGGCATTTGCAGTGTATAATGTAAAGTGCTTCTGAAAAGATGTCTGTACACAGCAGATGTATTCTTTATTCATATGCAAATATTCCAGTCCTATCTGTTGTTACAGACTTGATACACAAGTATATTATGTTATGAAACTCTAACAATAATCTATTTTAATGCTATAATGGCGATATAGATTCAGTCTTTATTTGAAAAGAAACAATTGCATGCCACATTTCCTGTTCTCATGCAGTATTAATATGTGTTTGACCAGTGGATGTCAGTAGTGTACCACAATAACACCAAGTTTCTTTGTGCATATCTACATAAAGTATTCATAATTAAGAGAAGGATTATCAATATTATGAAATATTGACATTACTATAAAAAAGCTTGTTCAGTTTTACAAGATACTAAACCGTTAATATAAAAATTCTTGTTTAGATTAAAAATCAAAAAATTATGAGATCATCATAATTATGAGAAAGCTCCTTCTAATCATGAGGTAAAATCTGAAAAATACAAGTTTCTCTTTGTTATACTACTACTACTACTACTACTATTATTATTATTATTAATATTATTATTAATATTATTATTATCATTAATGTTATTATTATCATAATTATCATTATTATTACTATTATTATTATTATTATCATTATTGTTATCATTATTATTGTTATTATTATTAAAATCATTATTATTAATACATTTGCATTTAGTATTATAATTATTATTTTAAATGTGTGTAAATATACAGTAGACAGCATTTAAAGTGGTTAAAAACATTTAATCAAAGTTGTCCTAAAACTATTCAACAACACCCATTTTTGTCAGTCAAAGTCAAAATTATTATTTATTTTTCAAATATTTCCTAAATGATGTTTAACGGAACAAGGACATTTTCACAGTATTTGCTATAATATTTTTTCTTCTGGAGAAAGTCTTATTTGTTTTATTTTGGGTAGAAAAAAAGCAGTCTTTATTTTTTTTTTAAACCATTTTAAGGTCAATAGTATTAGCCCCCTTAAGCAATTTTTAGGTTGTCTACAGAACAAATCATTAATAAACAATGACTTGCCTAATTACCCTAATTAACCCGGTTAATTAAGTTTTTAAATGTCACTTTAAGCTGAATATATGTATCTTGAAAAATATCTTTTATTGAGCTATTGTGAGATAAAATGTTTTCAATCAGTCAAATGGTGAAAAAAAAATTATTATATACCTTTAAAAGACAAATAAAGTCAATCAATCGCCATATACATTTCACTAGTGTCTGAAAACATTGATAAATGTGACCGAATTGTTTTTTAATCACATATGCGATTGTGTTTTTAGACTCATTTCAAAGTATTTTGAAAAATTAAATTGCTTTACCTTTTCTGGCACCACACTTTTGCCGTCCCAGGCGTAACCCCTCTTCGTGAAGTAGTTTACAGTGGCGAACTCAATGAGAGCCGAGAAGACAAAGGCGTAACAGACGGCAATGAACCAGTCCATGGCTGTGGCATAGGCCACCTTGGGGAGAGAGTTTCTTGCGCTGATACTTAGGGTGGTCATAGTGAGGACGGTGGTCACTCCTGCAAAGGAGAAATAAATAGAAAAGGGTCTGCATTAAACAAATTCATACCAGTTTTTATTTATTTACTATTTTTATCAGTCCGACAGAGAACAGTGTGGTTACCATGTGCTCTGCTAGGCCTATTTTAGGGGGCTGTAGCTAATCCTTCATTAAAGTCAGATTGTTTCAAGTGTGTATTGATGTTCTAGAAATTCATAATAATCTTAAAAATAAATAAATAAAACTAACAATGAAACTAAACGTGACAATGTTGCAATTTTTATATTAAATAAATAATAACACATACTTTCTGAGAACTTTTATATATATATATACATATATATATATATATATATACACACACACACACACACACACACACACACACACACATATATATATATATATATATATATATATATATATATATATATATATATATATATATATATATATATATATATATACGTACACAACAGTTCTGTTTGGTTCTTGAATCTGATTGGCTGATAGATGTGCGATATTCTGCAAAGAACAGCACCCGTCCAGCCTATTAACCTTTTACCCTTGTGTATTACTCTGCCCACATAAAGCAACAAGCAGAGGACACTCTACAGTAGAGATCTGCGCGGGACTAAATTTTGAACCCCGCTCACGCCCGCTGCTGCCAGGTTTTAGCCCGAACCCGACCGCTCCCTCTTATATTCAGCATTTGTTGTCCTGCTGCCCGACCCGCCCCGTTTTCTACACTCTGCGCCTGTTCCCACTAACGAGCGGGCACTCTCATTCTTGTTCTCTCAGTCGGGCTCTCTCATTCAGGCACACACACTGCAACAAACAAGCTAAACGCAGCATCACGCTGTCTCATTCAAGGCTGATTTAATCTGGTCAGGTCTGCAGACTGAGGAATGCAGAACTCTACTCTACAGTTTGACAAATATTGCTGCTGTTAGACAACATAATGTACTTTTGAGGCTTTTTAGTCAACAATGTAGTTGTTTAGATTGCAACTCTGCAGGTTATTTATAAGGACAGTGCCTATTTTAAATATTTATAATTTGGTAGAGACAGGCATAGAAAAGACGGTTGACGTTGTCCATGAACAAAATGGCGACAGAAAGTCTGGGGTTCTCTCCTGGGACTGCTGCCCCTGCAACCCGGCCCCAGAAAAGCAGTAGAAAATGAATGAACGAATGAATTTTGCTAAGGTCAATATTATTATATTGTAGGGTTGTAACGGTATCAGAATTTCACGGTACGGTAATACCTCGGTATAAATGTCACGGTACGGTATTTATTGAATCATTTACAGGAAAAAACAAAACTTATGAAAATACTGCAAAAAAGTACCAAAAGTGTCAATGACATACAAATTAGCCATCTATCTGTAAGCTTTGAAACAGGAACTTCAATTTTAATAACAAAAAATTATTAAACCATGTAAAAAAATAAAGTTTCAAATTAGTATTGTTGAAAACTCCTCACATTCAACATTTAATCACACTCAGCCCATCTACCCAGAAGAGAGCTCTGCTAGTCGGACTTCTCATCAAGCATCTCCCGCTGGATCTAATCTCACTATATTTATTAAACGGGATATTTCATTTATCTTGTTGTCTTTATCTAACGACATATTCCCTGACTTTGGGCATTGGAATCTATTACTTGTTCTCAGGTAACGTGTTTTGGCTGAGCGCAAAGATAAGTTAATGATTAATGTAACCATGTAGCCTACATTCTGTATATTGACTGATCGCCTTTATTTCCTATAATGTATAAACTTATTGTATGTTATACTTTTAAAATGGCCATTATCGATTATTAAAACTGATACTCAGCAAAAGAGAGGCTGTGTTTCGTATTTTCACTGAAATTGAAAGGAGGCAGTTGTTATCGGCTCCGTTTTGTTATAAATATCTACACAGTGAAGATGACGCTCATCTTATGAAGCACGACGCCTCAACATGTCTGCTGTCTAAGTTGCTAATATTAAAATGAAAATAGGCAGTTCCTTAAATCATGTTTACATTTTATTGTTGATAAAGTGAAACAACGAAGCCAGGGTGATGTGAATGAAGTTATAAAGTACACTGTTCCCTTTGAAGATTTACCCGTGTCCTCGGTATAATCTGCTTTTCCATATCAAACTGAGAAGAAGAGACTGCAGCCTTGATCAAACTTGCGAAGTCTGAACTTACACGGAGATAATGCAGGACTGAACTGTGCGTGTAAAGCAGGTCGCACACCAGAAGCGACGCTCGGTGGCGCGCCGCGCAGCGCCACGTATTTTAGAATTCTAATCATAGGTTTCTATCAGGATACACACACCGGCGCCGCCCGGCGACGGCTCAGGACGCAGTTCATTTTTCAGCCGCGCCACAGAGCGCCATCTGATTAGTTTCATGTTAAATATCATTCGAATGTGCGCGTCTGGTGTGCGATACTTTAATCTGTCATGTACGCGCCGTGTCGCGGCGCTTCTGGTGTGCGACCTGCTTTAGAGTTTTCCAGCTCTTTTCATCCCCGCTTCTAGCAGCACACTCCATTTCCGCATTACTGGATCTGTAGCGACAACAGACCGCAAGGGATGATGGTCAAGCATGGGCTGATGGCAATTGTAGTTTCAGCTACCTCCCGTTCGCTTCATTCGCCTGAGCAAATTTTCTCAGAAGACCTATAGTTTTACCGAGTCATGTGACTTCGGTAATATCGAAAAAAATTAATATTGCGGTATGACGGTATTTACAATACCGTTACATCCCTATTATATTGACCTTATACAGTATTGAGCTTTTTTTGGATTGCGTACAGAACAAACCACTTGTTGTCCAATGACTTGCCTAATTATGTAACTTACCTAGTTAATATATTGTCAAAAGAAAGTTATTATTAGAAACTAGTTATTAAAACTAGTATGTGTAAAAATTTATCCATTAAATAGCACTTGGGAAACATTTAAAAAAAAAATCCAAATTTAATATTTGTGTCTTTAACATATATATATATATACAGGGCTTAATTTGTGCTGGAACAAGCTGGATCCGAATCCAGTCGCTCTTCACTTTCTTTTGCAATTCTCAGCCACTACTACCCCACCCCCACCCTGGCTCTTCACTTTCTTGTGGGACACAACAGATCTACCCCCTTCACTTTTGTCCAGGACACCTCTCCCTTATCTGGTAACATGCCAGATCCGTTACCCCGATCTGTTCTGGCACCTGGCAATTCACAAATTAAGCAAATTAATACACACACACACACACACACACGCACACGCACACAAATATATATATATATATATATATATATATATATATATATATATATATATATATATATATATATATATATATATATATATATATATATAATAAACATATTTCACAAATAATATTCTGCACTCTATCACAGCAAACACTGATTTCACTCATCAATTCTGTTGGTAGGAGCCCAGCAAAATAATTGTTCAAAATGAAATCTGCTTTCACAAATCTGCTAGAACTACAGTACCCCAGCAACGTGTTCCACAGCTGCTATATTTCTAACCCTCAGATCTATACTGCTCCATAGATGCTCTAATCATTCATTAGCATAGCCTGTCACCAACTCACAGATAATTTATACCGACCTACTTAAAGAGTAAAGAACTTCTGAGAGCTTTTTCTGTTTTGTGACCACGTTTCCTCAAAGAGAGCCTCTGTAACGAGGCAAGATATGCAAGACAATGTACTCAGTGCGCTTGACAGTGTCCCTATAAATATTAGAACACATTCGTAATGTTAACAGTGACGGCTAGCAAAAAAAAAACCTTGAGTATGAAGTATGATGTCCGGTTTAATGTAACCAAACTAAGGGCCTGCGAAATTAATCAGGGCCAATTAGCATGAACGCACAAGCCCATGGAGCGCCGATGGCTGTATAAAGTTCGACTAGTCATCTGACAATGAGCAAATTAAAAAGCACAGATGCAGCAAGTAATTAGGCTACTAACAAGCTGAGTTGTTTATCATCAAGTGCGAGGATTCTACTAACAACATAAAGCCTCTATTTAGGGCATAAAACATAGGACACATGGTCTAAACATGAATTATACTTCTGTGTCGATTGATCCATTCAACTATTCTATGTGCATTTTGGAAAATTACATTTAAAAACCCTGGATTTAAATGACAAGATGCACATAAATTTATAAAAATTAATGTAAAAAAATACATTACACACCACTCAGGATAAACTTAGGATAAACTTTTTATCCGATAAGGAAAAATGTGCATAAACTGCAATTTAAAGAATAAATTCCAAAAAAGTGATGTGGTTTTACTTCAATTGATCATGTGATCAAAAAAAGGCAGAAAGTGACAGGTATGTTTGGGTGGACCCAAAGTTATTATGGTTAATGAAATCGAACAAAAACACAAAAACTAGAATTGCTAAAACGTTTTCGTTAACTGAAATAAAAAAAATAAAATAAAAACAAGATTTATATTTATATATATATATATATATATATTTATTTATAAAAAAAAAAAAAACAGGAACTGTATTGTGTACATTCAATCATTCACTTTCTTTTCGGCTAAGTCCCTTTATTAATCAGGGGTCATCACAGTGGGCAGGAACCGGCAGATGTGAAACAATTTTAATCATGAGGTAAACACAAAACAAAACTTTTCTTCTGGAGCTCCTTTATGCGACTCCACACTCGCGTGGCTCTCTATCCCGCCCACACTCGTCAGCGCTACCAAGCCGACCAATCACAGAGCTTGCGCTACGCGTCATTGTGACGTGTAGTTACATTTTTTTTTAAAAATGTGAGAATCAGCGACGCCAACGGCCACGGCGAGGGCTATGGGTCTACGTGTAGCCCGCGACGTAGCATACCCGTCCTCTTGACGCAGAAGTATAAATCGGCCTTTATTCTTTTAATGAGTAATGAGTGTGTTTTGGGCATAATATGCGTTTAACCAATCTGAGACTCATCTCCCATTCCCTTTAAGAGTGAATTGCCATTGTAGATTT